CATGTCAGACCACTCAGCAGGAGGGATGATCTTAGTCAAACCATTAGCTAAATGATCCTTACTGTTCACGTAAGTAGCCGAAAAATCTTCTTGCTCAAAGATCTCTGCCATACTTGCCACGTTCACGCGGTGCACGCGCCCTAAGTGGCGAAGCTTTGGGCTGTATCCTGACTTCAGGATGGCCAAGACAGTTTCATTGTCTTGAAAGAAGATGATTGGCACTGTGCTTTTGAAGGCTGACTGTAAGAACGTCTGCAAGTTTATGACCTCTGAAAACATGGCTGATGCCATTGAGATCATTTCGGCTTCTGGCGTCGATCTCGCAACCGACGTTTGCTTGCGACTTTGCCACATCACAGGGAATGCATGTTGACCTGTGCCTATGTGGACTACAATCCCGGACGTGCTACGTAAAGTGCAGGGACAGGCTGCGAAATCAGCATCTGTATACACCCGCAGCTCGGGAGCGGCATCCCAAGAGCAACTGGCATTCATGCAAACATCTCTGGTGTGATGAATGTATGACACAAGTCTAAGTACTTACTTGTCGGTCCTCCCAGGCAGTCCACCTAGTGACCCTGGAAGCTAGGCGAGTTACAGCAAAGGAGATGTCAGCCCTGCAGAGACGAGCTAACCACAAACAGCGCATCAAAATGCGTGATGCTGAATCGTGGAGCTCGCCGGGTGCTGATATCTCTTCGTCGGTCATCGCCGATTCAGCGATGCAAGGCGTAGTCACTCGACGAAGCTTGTCGGGAGTTGTCCCGGTGATCTCGCAATAGGTTTGGACGATCTGCTCAGCATACTCAGGCATCTTAAAAGCCATTGTGGTTGACGACGGGTCGTCGTAAATCCAATGCAGTCTACCTAAGATCCGAACACCCTCAGAACTTATAAAACACTCGGGATCAAGCTTGACTTTTGCCCTCAACGCTTGCCAAAATGGTGTGTGCAATTTTGCTAATCCGCACAAGCTCAAATCATCGACGTAAATGTTTAAGATGAGAACCCCATCCTTGTACTCAAAGAACCAGTTGCTTGGAAACTCCTGGGACTCCTTTCCGCCTAATGAGATCAAAATCCTAGACAAATACTCTTGCCAGAGCCGTCCGGCCTGTGGATGGCCGTACAAGCTCTTGCGAAGTCGAACGACTATTCGCGCTTGCGCGCTCCAAAACGCTCCTCCCAACCGGGGAGCCATAACTCCCTTGGTAGGATTATGTATGTCTCTTCTTTAAGCTCTGATTGGAGGTATGCTTGGATTGCGTCAGAGCATGACACAGAGTGCTCTGGTAAGCAACCCCAGAAGAGGGAGGCGTTCAAGGCTATTAACCCCGTTGGAGTCGTACTGGTCTCTTCGAAGAAAACCAGATTGTTGAACTCATCCAAAACCCTATCCCCTCTATAAACAATTCTCCCTTTGAACTTTTGAAATTCAGGTGCAAGTTCGGCGTGCTTTACCCCGCACAGGGTCATCAGTTCCGCTACGCGAAGTTTGCGTCCCTGAGACCTGGCCTGACTTCTTAGCTCATGCAATGGCATGGCTGTTGTGTCATCCCATGTGCCGTTTCGGCGCAATCCCTCTGCTTCTTGAGCGATGGCTTCAAGCGCCTTCGGCTCAGCTTGCCATTCTCGGCGGGAGAGATTCTTGGTGATAAGCGCGCTAGCTTTACCAAGATTGGGGACACTTTTGAAATACCTCTGGGGAAACAAGGATTGTATCACGAGATCTGCAAACTCATACGCTTTGATGTTGGTTGCATTGATCCCTGACGACTCCTTTGTTGACACCTTTGCGAAGTGCTCCAGTACTCGCTTGGAGTTTGAAGCGATAGCGATGGCTTTGTTGCCGCTAACACAGGCTACACTGGAAAGCTCGTGTCTCGAAGCGAAATTGATCCACTCAGACTGCCTAAAGCACCCCTGAATCAGAACTCCACTGAAACGAAACTCGACCCCCCTGCTCAATGATATGGTCGGCAACATTTAGGGCCAAAACCAACATTCGCTTGGATGTTGCTTGCCTTTGTGCAATCTTTCGCGTGTACTTAGGACTTTGGGATTCGCGATGTACGGCTTGATGCGAAGACATATGTGTGCATGGTATGGTGAACCAAGCATCTACACCTGGGATTGCTTGGGAAACGACTTGTTGCATGTTATCCTGCGAAGTCAAGTCCAGCATTGACTGGGACAGACTAACACAATGAACAACCATACTCGATCGGAACATTCTCTCCTGGAAGTTCCTTGACCCTTCTGGTGTTGTTACGCGCTCTCTCATTTGCGAGAAACCTTGCACTCAAACCAAACTCACCTGTTGGAACTTTACTTTCCGAAGACTGAACCACAACACCAGCTGGAGCCCGTGGGCCAGCAGAGGAGCTCGCGCGCTCTGGAGCATCCTCATCACCCTCGGGCTGCAGGTGCAGACTCCGCCGAAGGATCAGGGCGCTCAACATCGGGCGGTGCAGCGTCTCTGACTGACTTGCTCGCGGCAATCTTCTCGGCTTTAATCAAACCATCAAATCTTGCCTTACATACTGGCGTGTGTACTGTTCCGTCGAACTTGCAGGCCTTACAACCAGGTGTTGCGCCTAGTCGCATAAGCCTATCTAAAGTGATGTACTCGTGGCGCTTGGCCACGGGTGTTGACGGCGCTACCGTGCTGAACGGCACATCAAGAAATTCGATGGCTTCATACTCGGCTTTCGTGAAACTAGACAAAGCAGCTTCTGCAGCGGTGAACATCGGGAGGATGGGATTACCGCGGGGAACATGGATCTCCTCTCTAGGGACGGAGATCGCCTTTTCGTACCCCGGTTCACGGTTCTTTAGCTTACCATAGTCCAAGACATAATAGACTTCTCTGAATGATGATGGACCACTATCGAACCGCCAACCTGCAAAGACACCTGGCGCTGCTGATGCCTGAAACTTCTCACGGTGTGCCGGGTCAAGTCTGTAATAGACGAGTTGACCAAGTTGTAGTTTCATGCCACCAAACTCGGATCCGGTTGCATTCACATACCGGCCACCCTCAATCCCAACCGCTGGGTGGAAAAGGTTAATGGTGTGTGCCGCATAGCGAACAGTGTGGACCCAAAGACCCGAATGCAACTGAAAACCTGCCGCAATGTGGAGGGCTCTTGTACACTCCTCGATTGTCCGGATCTCCCGCTCGAGAACTGAGTTGTGAGGCCATCTTCGCTCAAGGCTTGGTTCTGAAGTAAACCCCAACGTCGCACATGCGGCGAGGAGCTCTCGCGCATTGTCGCTCTTGAACAATACACAAGGTCCAGAAGCGCGCCTACCGAGAAAGGATAACAATGATCGTACCACTCCGTCTTCGTGCCTGGACACTAACGGGAATGCTCTTATGTACCCTGTGGCCTCATCCCTCACAGTTAGGACGACGGTTTCAGTGCTTCTAGAGTCTTTGTGCACGATGATGAAATCAGCCGCTATCCGTTGGCCAAACTCTTCAACCGGATCTAACTCATCATCACACCTTGCATAGCGCATCCTCGCCGTCCGCTTCTTTAGCATTCGGCTCCGACTGACATCGCAGTAGGGGTTCTTTGGCATATGCGTTAAGCGATGCTCTAGACTCTGGGCTTCAGTGATTAGCCCCTGAGCCTTGGTTGGTGCATCCTCGTCACCCTCATCGTCAGCACCGGAACCTTCCCCTGGATCAGGTGGAGGGGGTGCTGCGGGAGCTGGGAGAGGAGGGTCCTCTGCTGGGACCGCAGGTGCAGGAACCTCTGCTGGGGCTGCCGGGGCAGACTCACCAGCGGCTAAGGCTCTATGCAAACCGTCACCACCAAACCTGATCTGCTCACGAAATACCGGAACATAATCATCAACCTTACGGGCATAGATGACACGATCCGAATCCCAAGTGATCTGGATGCAATCTTCATCGGTACCGAAGAACGGCATGCTACCAGGAAGCCAAACAAAAGTTTTCGCTGCAACTCTACTAGTTGGCCTAAAGACCGCACTACCGGGCAGCTTTGCAGAACATAGGACTCTACTGATCCAAAGGCATCGCTCGTCGTAGTAAGGAAGGTGCCACTGCTCGTAACACCATTCCCGGTTTCAAACTGCAACGGCTTCGTTGACTGGATGTGATCGCTGAACATGTCAGTCAAAATGCCCTGATCTGCAAGCGCGGATTGGCTTAGCAGGCTTCTCCCTGCCCCAGAATCAGCAACCCAATCAAGGAAGTACGACCCCCCTGAACAGCTAGGTCTACTGCCTGTTGCGGCAATGCGATCATGCGAATGATGCACAGTTGCGGGCAATGCAAAAGAAAGTGCTGCCGCGACGCGGGCAAACACACGAAAGGGAGCGGTGATCAAGCGACATGTGGCTTTGAAACCGCGGACAAATGATGAAGGGATGTTGCATGCGCTCGCGCCCGTCGACGCGGCTGCATGGCGACTCCGGCAGGCACCTTCGGGGCGGCCTTTGATGGAGCAGCTTTCTTTGGTGCATCTACATGCTCAAACGGGCAATCCTTTCCCCTAGTGCATGTTCCCTTTGGGTAGAAGAAGCACGCTGGCCTTCGGCCGGATTGTTCTGCTGACGAATCCTTTGCAGCTGGAGGCTTCTGAGGTTTAGCCTTGCTATCCTTACCCCCGCCTTTCCCTTTACCTTCGCCTTTGTCCTTGTTGGCACCCTCACCGCCACCATGATTGGTGTCGGGGACTCCTGGAGTTGCTTTGCTTGGGGCCTTCGGGGACTTGTCATTGCCTTGGCCTTTGGCCTTAGCCTTTGCATTTGCCTTTGCAGCAGGAGCGGCAGGCGTAGCCTTGGCCGCGGCCGCTTTCGCATTTGCATCTGGTTTCGGCTTCTGTTTGGAATCCTCCTTGAGCGAATCCTTGAGCGCTTGCTCGTTTCGATCCTCGCGCACTTCTGCAAGAACCTCTTCGAGCCCATTCCAAATGTACTCAAACGTCCTACGCTTGGAGCCTGGCTTGGCGTCTTTGACCCGATCAATGGTGCGTGAAAGCATCCTGCATCCCTTTAGCCGTGAGTAGATCCAGGAAAACATTGTTTCGGCGTCCGGCCATTGCCGCTCCGGCAAGCCACTCGACGCGTTGTTTGAAGGCTACAAGCGATTGGTAGGAAAATGAGTCAGGCTCTAAATCGAACAAGGATTGTAATGTCACCAATGGCCCGCGCACTTTATCTATCCGGTATCTTCTGCTAAGAACGGACAAGAGTGCACGACCCGATGGCATCGTTCCAGACGCATGACATCTTTCCAAGTACGACTGCGCTTGCAATCCCCATTCACCTTTTAGGTGTTTCGCATCACTAATACATGCGGAGATCCACCCATCAAGTCTAGGCAAACCCTCACAATCCTGCTGAAGCGACCGTGTCGATGCAATGCTACCTGATGGATCTAGGCTCTTTTGAAGCCACTTCAACAGGACGGCTTTGCCGCTGCAATCTATTGACGCGATCTGTGTTAGCACTGAATTGCGGTAAGCCCTGAACTCAACGCTAGAACCCGGAATTTGGGGAAGCTTGATGTCTTTCAGGTCTTTGTACTTATAAATGCTGGACTCGTAAACTCTGTCATCTTCAGGCTCGTGAGCCGCAACGGGGACGATAGGATCATCCTCGAAGTCTTCTCCGTCCTCATCATCCTCATCTTCATCATGCTCATCAAAGTCATCTTCATCTGCTATGTCGAAGACTTGGGGCTTGAGTTTCTGTGGTGCAGAATGTGGTGGAGGAGGCGGAGGAGCGGGTGTTGCGGAATGCAATCTACCCGTGAAGATGCTCTTACGGCTGCATTGGTACGGTGGCAATCCAAACTCAACCGGACCCGGGGCAACGAAACCACTAGAACCGGAAGCCTTAGCGGGGATTGGAGACGCAACTGATGGTGCAATGGCCCTAGCTGTAGCCTCGGCTTTAGCTTTCTGCTTCTTTGCTTTGGCTTTGGGACTAAGGGCTACTTCAATTGCCTGTTCAATCCTTCGCATTGTTCCCGCAACCTCACCCGCGAGTGCCTGCAATGCGTTGAATGCAGACGCAGCCTGATCCGCGCCATTTTGGGTAGAGCTCGCGGGGATTGCCGATGAAGGGATGCTTGGGTTCTTTGGTTCGGCAGCTTGCACATGCGACTGAGGTGCGATTAGCTGTTGATGCATAGCCTTAGATAACTCTTGCTGCTCAAGGAGCATCTTAGCTTGCTTTTCGAGTCTCTGGTTGAGCTCACGATTCATCTCTCCTAGCTGTTGGTTCTCAGTTCGGAGGTTTCCGATTACCGTCTCAGCTTCACCCTGAATCACCGAAGCGCGTGAACCCAACTGCTGGTTTTCAGATCTTAGCGCCTGTATGGCGGCATACGACTCACCCTGAATCGCGGCGGCCTGGGCACCTAGCTGTTGGTTCTCTGATCTTAGAGACTGAATCACTGCTTCGGCTTCACCAAACACGGCTGCTGTCTCAGCTCTCGCGTTCATAATGGCAGCTGTTGCTTCGGATTGCATGTTCGCATGGGTTACCGGGTCAACTCCAACCTGAAGGACCTGCTGCCGATGGGCATGTTGATGCAAGTGCAACTCCTGATGGCTCGTATTCGGGCCGGTTGGGTTTTGACTATGGGCTGGGCCAACATTCGCTGCAAAGGTTGGTGCCGGTTGCAGGGATGAAGACCTCGATGTGGGTCCATACGACAATGATCTAGCCCGGTTCCTCCGAATCGGCCCCGAACTTGATGAATCCGAATGTCTAACCGCCTCCGGGCGCACGCTAAGTGCTGGAGCCCTAGGGGGTGTGCTTGACGAAGAAATTTCTAGTGAGGATTCTTCGAATCCCAGTTGCGATGCTAGAGGCATGATGGGAACGGCGGTTCAACCGAGGTCTAAGGGTTGTAAAAATACTTCACCCCAACCTTCCAAGTTGACCCTCAACAATCCCACACCCGAGGCGCTGCAAATGCAGACTGCCACAATCCCGTTTTAGATGTAAAGGTCGTACCACAGCACGTGGTCGAGGCTGCGCCTGTCCGACGGCTCCCAGCAATATCCGGTACAGCCCGGGTAACGCGACATGTCGCGACAGTCGCGACAGATAGGATCCTGATCGTCCACGTGGTGAATCTCAACCCCACCACTGCGTGCCAAAGTGGACAGCCGATCGCCCTTACCGTTGCGGTCAACCTTCGCAGATGTAATCAATAAAGAAATCGCCCGCTCCGGAACGCCAACGAAAGAAGATGGGTCCAGCTGCGACGCACGCTGTCTCTCACCTTATTCTTGGTGGACGCCGTCACGGCAAAGGAGCAAATCAGCACGCTGGTATCAGGATATGTGCTCAACACACGCTGCACTGCTGTGATACTACCAGAAAAATCGCGGTCCAATACAAGATGACAGTCCAATGACACCACACGCGTAGCCCTCTCGGCCTGTATCAAGTTCGCAATGTGCCGGATAGACAGCGACTCGTGCACGCTACGCTGAGGCAAAGGTTCAGGAATCGAAGAACTAGCCGGCTCGGCTTCACAAGACTCCTCTTCCGCCTCTACCTCAACTGTCTCAAGTGTCTCCTCGGCTGCCTCCTCGACGAACTCAAGTGGATCGGCTGCCTCCTCCAAATACCCAGTGCGCCTCCTCTTGAGGAGGGGATTATCCAAAGTGATCGCACGATGTCCAATCGGCACGTAAGGGCCAAGGTTAGGAGCAGAAGATGGCGGGATTCCTGGTTTAGGTCTGGGGACAGGCGGTTCGGGCGGCAACTCTCTACCACTCGGGAGCGAACCCTTGCCCTCTAGCCCTGAAGATCCCGCAACCCTTACCGAACCTCCTGTACGATAAGGTGTGGCACCAGTATGAACGCTAGATGGCGATTCCGCAGCAGTAGCGCTCACGGGTCCAGCCCCGGAGATTGTATTGGAGGATGTATTGTCAGGGGTCTCTGCAGTCACTGAAGAAGATGGCACGGTGGCAATAACAGGAAAGAGCGGAGGTCCAACTGGCGAGATCTGGAACTCAGGAAGCGGCTGGTGATGCGTAGGAAAGTTACCAGCCTTCAGCCAATCGACGTACTCCTGTGCCTCCCGCTTATTAGAAGCGTCCACCGGATGCAAAACGCCGACCTCCTGCTCAAGCTGTTCCAATTGGGCTAAAAAGCCCCCTACGATCTTCAAGTGTAGCGACTTCCTTGCTCGGCGATTGGTGCCGCTCTCGCCCCCGCGCTTTTCAGCGTTAAGAAGAAGAACGTGCTTAAGCTCCAATCGCTCCTCTGGGGATAACGCTTTCGCCGGTTGCATACAATGGCCCAGGGGCAGCAGAGTAGCAGCAGCGGGAAATCCAAGAAAATTGATGGCTGAGGGACACCTACCCAAAACCCGTCTCAAGATTTACCCAAGTATCCCCCGTTGGCTGCGTAAGCACGCCTCTCGTCTCAAATTCTTACCCAAGTATCCCCCGTTGGCTGCGTAAGCACGCCTCAATGCCTTGCCTCTGAAAGCTCAATCCGGATATCCTCCTTGATTACCCACTGACAACCCAGATGAACAACTATCAACTAGGAAGACCCCCTGGCTGGCAGACTGAGAGCCGAAGGGATTTGGAAGTGATTCTGCGTTCGACTTTGGACTGTTGTGCTGTGCTGCCAAGGCAGTCTACAGCCGGGATGAGGGACTGAGGAAGCGGTTCGAAGGCCGAGCACGGGAAACACCCACGCTAACCCAAACCAGAAATCTCAATCAACCTCCAATCTCAGCTGAACTCTTACAGGAGGGTTGCTGGGATGCAATCTCACTCCTGACTCGTTGCGGTTCTGTTCTGATGTCTACTGGATCGCCTGTTGCACCACAAGGCCTGGCCTCCTTTGTCCGTGAACGGGACTACGGGAGAGGTGCTAAGGCAGGACTTTAAGAAACCCGAAGAAGGTTACCACGCGGATGCCTGAGCAAGCACGCGAAGCACGCAGCAGATTTGGACCTCACAGATAATGTGCAGAACCAGGTTGCGATGCAAGCGCTGGTTGGGATCTCAACTGTAGGGTTCTGGCTCTAACCCCAGGAGATTGACAGTGCAGGATATGGAAAGTGATATGGAGAATGGGCAGGTCTCTCACTAGACCTACGGCGAACCGATTTCACGGAACCTTGCTAGTTGCTTGCAGATATGGAATGCACAGACACTAGGCCTGCACGCGGGGCACTATGGCTCGCAGGGGTCCTAGACTCTCCCTAGACGACCACAGTGAGTGATATGAAATGCTGAGGCTGTTAACCAGTTGAACACGAAGTAAACCCGTCGTGTTACAATAACAAGCAAAAGCAAGCACTCACAGCACTTCTTTTACTTGAGCCAAATCATGTTCGTGTGCGTCGTTCAAGCTGCTCTTCACCTACCTCTAGTAGCGTGCTCTTAGCTACATCATGCAAGGGCCTGGGGATCGAGTACTGTTAACTAATGTGGGTTCTCTGGCTGGTGCCCGGCCAGAATTGAATAATGTTAGATAATTTCATTATCTAAAGTATTTGAAATATATAATTCCCGGCCCCAATTCCATATTTTGTAAGTTTAAATAATTTAATAATTTAAATCCTGAGGAGGTGGTTTCGGGGGGGGGTCCGGGTTTATTTGAATTATCTAAATTATTTACTTCCCGGCCCCAATTAAATAATTTAAATAGTTTGAGTGTTTGAGCAATTAATCCGGGGGAGGGGGCTGGGGCTCCAGGAACTTAAATAATTTACAAAGTTTAAATATTGGGGGCCTCCAAATATTTAAAGTATTTAAATCATTTAAATTCCCGGCCCGACCCCCCTCGCCAGGGCAGTCACCAGGATTTAGTATTTATATTACATATTATTTATATTCCACCGAATTTAATTAATTTATATAATGTAAATATCTGGTGGCCTCCAATTTCGGGATATATCTTGCGAAAAAACCGTGGGGCGACACCCCTTGCGATCTGTAATTTCGGGACCTGCGTGTTTACAAAGCCTCAAGGGGACAACCCTTGCGAGTTATGAGTTTGAGATCTAGTTCGCACAAAAGTCTTTAGGGGGACACGCCTTGCGACTTTGAAATTTCGGGATCTATTTGGCGCAAAAACCTTTAGGGGCACACCCCTTGCGGTTTATGATTTGGGAACTTATTTTTAAGACAAACCTGTAGGGAGACACCGTTTTGCGATCCGTGATTTTGGGATCTCGAGTTGTTACAAACCATAGGGGGACACCCCTTGCGATCTGTGATTTTGGGACCTGCGTTTTCACAAAACCTAAGGCGACACCCATTGCGATTTATGATTGTGGGTTCTATCTCCTGAAAAAACCTGTAGGGGGACACCTCTTTTTTTTGCCACCCGCCCAGCTGGGACACCTCTTGCGATCTGTGATTTTGGGACCTGCGTTTTTACAAAGCCTCAGGGCACACCCCTTTGCGAGTTATGATTTTGAACTTGTGTTTACACAAACATGTAGGGGGACACCCCCTTGCAATCCGTGATTTTGGGATTTGCATTTCGCCAAATCTAAGGGGGCACGTTGCGATTTATGATTTTGAGATCTATCTCGCGAAAAAACCTGTAGGGGGACACCCCTTGCGATATGTGATCTTGGGACCTGCGTTTTTACAAAGCCACAGGGGCGCGCCCCTTGCGATATCTTATGAGTTTGGGATCTAGTTTGCGCCACAGCCTTTAGATTTGTGATCTTGGGATCTATTTAGCGCAAAAACCGGTATGGGGACAACCCTCGCGATCTGAGATTTTGGCATCTCGAAATTTTACAAAACCTGAGGGGGACACCCCTTGCGATCTGTGATTTTGGGATCTCGAGTTGTTACAAACCATAGGGCGGCACCCCTTGCGATCTGTGATTTTGCATCTTGTTGTTGTGCCAACCTGTGGGGGGACACCCCTTGCGATCCGTGATATTGGGCTCTGGGCTTTTACACATAGGGGGACACCCCTTGCGATTTATGATTTTCGAACCTGCATTTTTGCAAAACCTTTGGGGGACAGTTTTTGTGATCTTAGATTTTGGCATCTGAGTTTTTACAAAAACCTTAAGGGGGACGCCCCCTTGCGATTTATGGTCTTGCAATCTGAATCTGAGCTTTTGTAAAACCTAATGGGGACACCCCTTGCGTTTTAGGATCTATTCTGCGCAAAACCTGTAGGGGGACACCCCTTGCGATTTATGATTTTGGAAGCTTCTTTTCAACGAACCTTTAGGGGGACACCTCTTGCGATCTGGGTTTTTGGGATCTGAGCTTTTACCAATCTTGGGGCGACACCCCTTGTGATCTGTGATTTGGGGATCTGTGGTTTTACCGAACCTCACGGAAAAAAACATTTTCTTGCCGACAAGGAGGTAGGTGGAGCACTCTTGTTTGTGTTTCTCGTGAAGTTGCAGGGGCCTGTCTGCTGTGCTGAGATGGAGCTCTCTTCCGTCACGCGGGAGGAAGCTCTCAGTCATTTCTTGTGGAGGAGACTTTTCTCTTTGGAAGCTAGGGGAGCT